ATATACGAGCATACCAATCAATATTAGTGTGTGGGTCGGTGATTGTTTGGGGCACATTTAACTCAATCCTAAATTTTTCATCATTTCTCTTACCCAAACTCTACAGTTGCTATATCTATACCAAAAACTCGACATTTGCTATATTTATACCAAAACTCGACATTTGTTATTTGTAAACCATTGCATATTATAAAAATAGACACTGATTAGCAGTAAATATTCGCTTGACATCGGTTAATTAGCTCTCAAAATGAAAGGGCGTATGGCTCTATTCTTTGATATCTTAAAATGGACGAAAATGGGCCTAAAAGCACATATTAATGTATACAAAGTGATCTATGTTCAATTTTTAAATTTTTATTGTAATTTCTAATCAATTATGTTCGATAAAATAAGTGAAACGTCCAAATTGACCGGCAGTCGTTTATGCCTGCTAAGTTCATTTTACACGTTTTTTTTTATTATTATTTTGTCGGTTGTGAATCAACCATTACTAAATACTTGCAGGATGTGCTATTCTTTGTTCATTGCCAGTGGTGCCCGAAGCCATAGAATACACAACTCCTGTACTGAATATAAAATGGTGATTGTGTCTTAAAGATACATTATGGGAGATAAGATAAAGAGATGACAGTTCTCGCTATAATAGTTAAAAACTAGATGGTGTAACGGTAATTTGCTGAAAATTTCAGTCAAATTGATCCACTATGAGCCGAGAAAAAAGCAGGTGAAATTTTTGCATAGTCTCGGTCATCATTACTAAAATCATTTTATAAACAGCATAGTTTCGATTATCCACTTTTTCCGATTTAATTATCAACGGCCGTTAGCGGCATATAGGAATCTAATCCAGCCAACATCGATGGCTAGCCTTGACATCGAGAGTTTATTATGGTCTGGATAAGTTAATTAATGTCTAATTGATAATTTAGATAACATTTCAGGCCTAAAGAAAGACTTGTAATAAGCAGATTTTGCTCTTGCATAATGCATGTTTAAGTATTGGATATCAGGGTCCCGTACTGAATTCTAATTCGTGTTTTTAATTTCAAATATTAAGACAAATATTGAGTTAGAGGTTAAGCTCCTTTAACTTGTTTTCCTTGCAAATTAAATTCTAAAACCATTCTTTTGAATATCTGAAAACTAAATAAAGGTGTCTGAAGTATATCTGGATGAAAATATTTCCAGTTTAGTGTAAATGGGTACATGTGCGAAGGCATAAAATGAATAACTGACACCGATTCTCCACGGACCCGTTTGTCATTATGTACACAGACAGAGATCCGTCTACTTCCTACTTCGAGAACAGATCTCTGCCCCGAATGGCCGCCATATCCAAAACTTCGTATACCTTTCTGTAATGCGGTTCTACTCCTTTCCACATCTGTCATATACACAAAGAACAAATAAACCTTTTCAATTTTCAAATTTCAAATTCCCGAACTATATATAGTGTTTTCGACTAAAATCGTCAAATTATGGCTTAAAATGTCGACCAACTAGCTTAGTGCATGTTCTCAAGCGGCGTTAACTGTAGATAGGCAGATAGTTTAGTATGCCAGTTTGTGTTACTACCAGTTATGATGTGACGTCATACGTAGACCTATACAGTATACTGCACGTGAACTTAAATATCAGTCATTTTGCATAGAAGGCTTTCGCACACAGCTAATGAAACAGATTGATTATGTATTTCAAAACTCGACATATAATCATTTGTATCGACATTAGTTATTCGTATAGAAAAATGATATTTTATATATTCGTATACACAAACATCCACATTTATATGGTCATGAAAATGGACACTTGCTATTCGTACACCAATTCGACATAGTTGTCGAAGTTATCAGACGATATTTGGCTTATGAAAAGACGAGTAGAAAGCATTTAAAATTGGCAGGATTGCGAGGCCGTTACATACGTATAAATAAATGTTCATTCTTTCTTTAATTACATGTCTGTTAGAAAGAAACCATTCATCACCCAAACACTTGAAGAAACCGTCTTGATTATTTTTAAAACGGAAATAAACGAGTTATTCCGTTAAATGAAACAGGAATCATATAATTTATTCCATTAAAAGAGTAAAATAATTTAGAAAGACGAATCGTAATTAAGTTGGGTTTTTTTTTTTTGTATCTCGTGTCAATTCATTCCAGTTGTTGAATTCTTCAACCAGAAACACTTGAAAACGTTTATCTTATGTAACAGCTACTAAATAATGAACTAACCAATTAAGTTTTTATATTTCGACTAGAACATGTGACATTACATGTGGGGCGTGTGCATATTAAATGTTCTATTGCTTCTCTACTCGAAAACACATCCGCAACTTTTTATGAATGTAAAAGAACAGCAAAAATGTATAGTGTTAGCTGTGCGAAGTTCTCAAATGGAAATGATATCTAGTTTGCTAGAATGAGTATGTATACTTATACTCACTCATCCCGTCTACGACACTGGCCACTGGGCCTACTTATAGCTAACTGACTGATGCAATGACTTGTTCCTGGATTTCAGGAGTCACTGGGTAAAATCAAATGACGTTTAACGTCCTACTTTTCTGGCTAGTGATTCGAAAATTCTTTTTCGTAAACAGCTACGTACCATCCAAACAACTAGACGCCCTTCTGTGCCACACCCTCCGTCCTGATAATTAATGACAAAGCAGACTGAAACTTTCTCTGACAACACCCGGATCGGACCAGGGACGTCCTGGCTAATGAGCCATCGCCATACTCACTGAGCCACATTAGAAGTCACGTGAATAATACTGTCAGCTTCCGCCTCAACAGCTGAGCCAGATTTAGGGACAGAGGATGTCTAAACACCCCAACAAATGGAAAAAGTAAATCGTAACCCCTCGAATCTCCTGCAATTTGGTTTATATGCTTTTGTCAGTCCCTAGATTCTTGACCGATTTCGTACATTGCCGTGAAAAATACATTTTCAAAATTTAAGCTGTGTAATAAAAAATAAATATTATTATCTAGAACTAAACTTCGGACAAAATATGTATTCATGTGATCGGCATTCTTCTTATTTTATTTTTTCTGTTTTTGTTGAGGTTGTAGAACATTTTCTTATAAATAAGCTTCTCCTGAAACCTTTGCTAAATGTTTTATATTATTATTCTCTATTAATTTAGTCGGTTGTCTTGATACTGAATGGAGCAGAACAGTAGGACGTTAAACCCCATTTCATTTCATTTGAAACGGAATGGCGCCCCTCCGTGCATGTTGTTTTTTCAGATATCAGGACGAATAATTTGGTGGTAGTAGTAAAAGTCCAATTTCTAATAAATTGATGTCATTTTCGTGAAAAGAAATGTTAAGCGACCCATATTGGTATTGTTCCACTCAATTTTTTTACAAACCCGATTTCAAAACATCAATGAAGAGAGAAGCGGCCGCATTGTTAAATTCAATGCAGAAATTTCACAGAATATATTTGTTATTTATGGGGACGAAGTCTTTGCAGAGTATCAAAGAATCTAAGATATTATATTTAACCTTTTCAAGAAATATTTCAAGCTAAGATCATCAGTATGACATAGAACAGACAGTTATCTATGTTTGTGAAAACAGAGATTATTCCTGTTAAATGTTTCTGGAATCTAAGAGAGTATCTCAATACATGGCGGAATCATGTAAAAAAAGAAAAAGACTGAGAAAATCAAAAGGAAAATAATCTTGTTACAAGAACATAAAGATCTGGTTAGCTATATATCTGCTGAAAAACTATGAGAATAGAAAGCTTAAAATTTGATTTTTTGAACCTTATTGCCACGTGAATAAACCTTACATACCCATAGTAATGCCACTACTGATATATATGAATCACAGAACTGATACATGTATATATCTCTGTTACATTATGAGATAAGATACTATGAAATATTCTAGGGAAAGGGCGTTAAAGATGTATTATGCTATGCCGTCCCATAGGCGTAGGAGCTCAAAGTAATTCAGGGGGGCACAAGAGAAAATTGCCCGAAATCAATACCGTTTTTTCGGGCATACATATCATAAGAGAGCTTCGGGCATATTTTCGGGCATGCAGTGGACAAGAAAAAGACGAAAAAATACTTTTCGGGCAGTTTGGATCTCATAGAAATAAGTTAGTTATATTTTTTTCTCTAAACGTTAATAGAAAAAAAAAGGTCGTCGAATTTTTCATTGCCCGAAAATAAATGACTGTTCCCTGATCTCTATTCATAGTGTACTATCACGTGAACAGGCGGGTGGTGGGGATGTAACGCCGAGAAGTAAACATTATTGGAATGTTCAAGATGCATTATGTAAGATTTAGACAAAGAGCTGACCGTTCCTGCTATAATAGTTCAAAATAGATAATAAAAACGAATATATTGAAAATTTCAATCAAACTTTATTCTGAGCAATGTTATGAGTTTTTGAAGTTTTGACAAGAAATAGCTGAATGTCAAGCCACGAAGTCTCGATTACCAGTCCTTTTTAGTGTGGGACGTCCATTTTAACGTTAACCGATTACATGGTCTAATCCATTCGAAATCTAACCACCCGATGATCTAGCTAGCTAATTATTGGATTATTGGATAGGTGTCTAAAAAATAATGTATTTAACATTTGAAGCCAGATTTAGCTCTTACATAATGCATCTTTCAGAAACATAATGCATTTCATGTCAGATATTTCCGATATGCTAAAAAAACGTTAATGGTGTTTAATTTGCGTGAGTCTATACTTAAAGATCATAAGTAAGTTCTTACTGATAAAAACGAGAAAAAAGTATATGTCGCCAATGGGGGGAACATAAAACTGTACAGAGTTAATATGCACTCAAGTATAGAATTGAATATAAACCGTATCACTTACTGTATATACACGACATGGGTGGATACAAAAACCTCTTTGATAATTGAAACAACAAAAAATGTGGAATGAACCCTTTTACAGCGGATTGGTCCATTTCACAGACAATCAACTTATAAAAGACTGATTGAGAGAAACAAACATGAGTTGTGTCTATGCTGTGTCAAGAACGAGCGCCTTTAAGCGCGTGCTTGTTAGTCTTCGTAAGAATTATAAAAAATTGTTTGTAAGAAGTGAGAATATATAGTCAAAGGTTTTACAAACTTATATGTGCTCAAGAAAGTTTGTTGATACGAAATTAGAAAGATCGTTTACTAAAGGTCGCTTTTCAAAGCTGTGTTTATGTTAAATGTCGTGTTTGCAATCTTCAGACGTTGCTAAAGAAGTAGTATTTTGAGTGTAGTGAAGAAAAACCACGGTGCTTGATGAGGTTAATACCAGAAGCTTTAATATAAACGGTAAGACTTTTTATATATTTTATGGTATTGTAAATAACTAGTTCACGAATTCATTCATCATTTGTTCATTCATAGCTTTATCTTTATTCAGCAGTGTGTTGTTTATTCATAATAGTGAGCTGTTTGTGCTATCATAATCTCTTTAATAAAAGGAACCCTCTTGTATCGTATTTTATTGCTTGGGGGTGAATCTTTACCCCCTTATTCATGGGGTACTGTTAAAAGAATTGTTTTTGTAATAGGGGAAATGCAACAATTACGGCGAAACGCGTATTAACAGTAGATGTATTTTATTTCACAGATTTCAAGCGCTCAAATATGAAATGATATTGGGCATCGAAACCGTTCGGAAGTCTTGATCACTGCAGTTACATGTATGATACCAAAGACAATGAATGCGCTCTTTAAGATTTACACTATCTATATAAAAGTTTATTTTCAATGCGTCCTTTATGGGGAGCCAGGGTTTCTCAGTGAGTAAGGCGCTGGCTGGCTAACCTGGAGGTACCGGTCTTGGCCGAGAAAGTTCCTCGGATTTTCCGGCGTGGTTTCTCATTGTCATTGCTGTAGGAACCGTCTGTAGTTGTTCGGCTATTACGCAAAAACCGAAATCTTGCCTTGGTGTGCACGTGAAAGAACTTGGAATTTGAAATAAAAGTAGGCCGCAGCGCTGCTGTCTTCTCAAAAATATCCCTTATATATATAGTGCTCTGCATGGAGTATGCCCGTCTTCTTTAGGACGCTAAACTCCATTCAGTTTCATTTGTGCCTTTATGGCCCTAGATTTGCACAAAGAGTTAACCGAGATTGGTACCAAACGTTAAAGGATTTTTCTTCCAAACAAGGAGAGAGAGAGAGAGAGAGAGGTTTAACGTCCACTCGACACAAACTAGGTCATTTCGGGACTAACATGGTTTAATTTTATTTCAATAATTCGCTTGCGCGTATGGGTCTTTAGCAGTGGGAGGAAACCCGCGAGGTTGGACAGGCGAACCTGCTCCTTGTCACGTACAAACTGGGAATCGAAACCACACCAGTTGACTCAATGACAGACTTTATGATACAGCGCGCACACGCTAACCATTCAGGCCCCCCCCCCTCCAAACAAGGAATCGTAAATACTATATAGTATATTCCGAATCTTTCATATTTGTCCGAGGAGTTCACATAGAACATCTGCATAGACGATATGGAACTACACGTTATCTGTCACCCAACCGTAAGTAATGCGTTTAAAACAGTTCTATATATCTGCATTGACGAAATGGGACTACACGTTATCTGTCATCCAAACATAAGTAATGCGTTTATTGGAATTGAACGAAGTATGCCAGATGATGCATGTAAATTAATATAACCTTTAATACCTGAATACAAGTATATACGCTAATAGACCAGGTGGACGGCACTATCAACTTTATCACTATTATAACTAGTGTATATAAAATGTCAAGTTCATAGGTCAATATATTTTACCAAAGGCTAGGCTCTGATTGATGCCCAAGAATTAACCTTTTGTAAGCTACATGTACACACAATTGTCATTCGGAACCGTTTTAACACATTCTGTCAAATGAACACCGTGTAACAGACAAACATTTTATTAGCTACTTTTAAACTATCTTTTAATTTCTGTCTAGACCGGTGAAACGTTATATTTCGGTATATACTTATTTTGACTGAAAATCTCCGAGAGCGAACTAGAACCTTCGTTTAATTGAATAACACATCGGAGGAGTTAGGTTTTTGAATCTCCTAAATTATGGTACCAACTAACATTTTGTATACTCGAGATATGCTTTTCACCTTCATCATTTATCATTTGCTTTGTTGTAGGCCTCCACATACGCGTGGGTTTATTATTGTAAATTACGTCATAGTTACAAGTGTTTTCAACTAAAACACATAGTGTTTCAGTCACACAAAAAATCGACCACAGATCATGTACGTCTCTCTTTAAATTTGTTAACCTTTTCTCAGTAGATGTAACCACATACCACCAGGAATTGGTACCGGAGAACAAACGATGCACAGGAATGAAATCTGTATGTTTTTATTCGATACACACTCGGCGATGATAGAGGGATTTTGGTGATTAAAGGATGTGTGTTGTTTGTTTTGGGTTGAACTGGAAAATATGTTTCAGACAAGAGTTAATGCAGTCTGCAGTCTCTGTTCAGAGAAGATGGTCTGGTATTCTGTGTCTTGTGAAGAAACAGTTTATTTTAATACTTTCAAAAACTCCACCAATGAAAAATCAAACTGTCAATAGACAATATCTAAACCCTGCGCCCCCCCCCCCCCACACACACACACACATCCGCCCCCGGGATCCCGAGACTTTAACCACCACCGAAGGGAACGGTAGCCGAATGTCGTCTGTAAAGTCATAGTCGGTTCTTTAACTTTAGAGTTCGAGAGGTGCTCAATTTTTCTAAAATAATTACATCGATCTTGTAGATAAATTGCCTCCACTGAAAAAAACTCAGGCAGTGTTATAAAGGTTTGTATGTTCGAAGTATGTATGTACAATTTCCTAAAATGATATACCTTCGTCCCATGTTCCATTATAGTCCTGTCCTATCTAATTTTGGAAAGCAGATTAGATTAGTGATCTGTGTAGTTGTGACTATTATAACGTATATTAATTTATTTTTTCCACTTGCTAAATACACTGTAGCTGTATCACTTCTCACTAGTCATATCTGGTTTCAAACCTATAAGTGGTGTCGTGCACACCTTAGGACATTTTCACTCCATGTAGAACGCCCCATACCGCTTCGTATTGGAAGAGCTCATATTGTATGTTTGTATTTGATAGAGAATGATTGAGCCTTTTCACCTATTACAAAGGTTCCCCGGGTCAGCGCGCACTGTAGGTTTGATGAAAATTTGTTGTTTTAGCATAAAAAAATGAAATGTTTATTTTCTTACATCTTAATTGTCGGCGGTTACATTTGCACGTGTAAATTGAAACAGAGTGTAAACGGTTTTACTTATGTATGGAAATAAACTAAGTATTGGCAAATATTTTAGGTAAATAAATATTACGTCTACGGTTAATAGATTCTCTATTTTATAAATTTATTCTGTTTATCACTTTATTGAAGACAATGGCATTAAATGTTAGCTAATGTCACGTGGAATGATATATTGATAGTGTGCATTGCAAGTCTTAGAGTGTGCTTTACAAGTGTACAGAGAAGAGACGATAGTTTTAAATTTATACATAATGCAGTTCGCAGATGTTATAAGAGCACATAAAAAGGCCATGTATCACAGCTGTATGTATGCATACTTAAAAAATAGTCAGTGTTTATTATATGCACTTAAATCATTTAATTCAAATCGCAAGTATTTAGGGTTCACCGCTATTTGGTGTAATTTTCGAAGGGGTGTTTTGGGGGTGGGAGGGGGGTGGGAGGTCTTTGTTATACGTCCCCTGTCCGTCCGTCCGTCCGTCCGTCCGTGTCCGTTCACAATTTGTTTTTGGACACTCTACAGGTCACAATTCTTATCCGATTTTGTCGAAACTTGAAATATTGGTTAATCTCCAAAAGATTTCGATTCCACGTTTTAGCTTTTGGACACTTTAGATGTCACAATTTTTATTCGATTTAAATGAAACTTGAAATGTATGTTTATAATCCAATCTGATTAAAATACAGATCTATATTCCGTTTCTTTTTTTATATACTTTTGATAGCCTACAATGACGATTTGACCAGTTGTACTGGAAGGTCTCGTCAAGAGGTCGTACGAACGGCTAATCCCTCACGCCTTCCAGATCCTAGCGTAGTACAGACCAAAAAAAACAAGATTTTGAACTATAAAAACGAAACGAAATAGGATCTGTGTTTTAACCAGATTGATTATAACCCCAAGATCTTGGTTTCTTTCGACATTCGCCCATATCGAACCGCAACTTCCTGGATTATGGTCCCTGACTGTATGAAAAATCGCGTTTTTAACTTGTGCATATCGGACCGTAAGTTCCTGAATTAAGGCCCCTGATTGTATGAAAAATCGCGATTTTAGCTTGTGGATTCTCTATAGGTCATAATTTTTATCCGATTTTAAAAATCGTTTAAATATATCACCGATACACCCTGATGGTGATTGTGGTCGAATTTCGTAAAAATCGGACCGAAACTGTCCGACAAAATGGCCACTCGTTGAACACAAATAGTGTAAAAGTATGTAATACCAAGGTTGTGGACCCGCTAGGGGTCACAATTTTTGTCTGATTTTAATGAAACTTAAAATATATGTTTATATCCCAAAGATCTCGGTTCCTTTTGATTTTCACGCATATCGGATCTTAACTTCTTGGATTATGACCCCTGATTGTACAAAAAAATCCAGTTCTTAGCTTGTGGACCCTCTAGAGGTCACAATTTTTATCCGATTTAAAAAAAAACATTTAAGTATATCAGTGTTACAACCTAATGACGGTTGACTGATAATCAGACTGAAATTGCCCGACAAAATGGCCGCTCCTTGTACGCAAATAGTGTAAAAGTATGTAATATAAAGGTTGTGGGGCTTCTAGAGGTCAGAATTTTTATCTAGTTTTGATGAAACTTAAAATATATGATTATATCCCAGAGATTTAGATCCCTTTTGATATTTGCGCATATCAGAGCATAACTTCCTGGATTATGTATCTTGGTTGTAAGAAAAATCTCTTGCAAAATGTGGGCGCAAGATGAATACTTTGCCTGGCAACCGCTGGTTTTTGATTTGTAAACGATATCATTAATTGCATTAGTGCACTATAAATAATCCTATTTATGACAGAAAACGTATTTTATTTTATGTAGTTGAATGTAATTTCTGGGAGTATCTTACAACCCTTACAGTAGGATATGGTGTGAATATGCGACAATATTTTGTTCCGCCTGATCTCAGCATGTTTACTTCAAATGTTTCACCTACATGTATATAACATTTTTTTCCAAGATGTATGGGGTCATCTGGCAGGGTTACCTCTTGTAGAA